TGTGTACTAGAGGCACGAACGGAAGCTTGACGTAGGACCGCTAGTAGACGGAACAAATATGTTGATCATTTAGTTCTTAACTATTTCCATTTTTGAATTGATGGCCCTGAAAACAACGGCGGCTTAGTCATGCTGCCTATTCCGGTCGATGTGGGTGCTTTTGTCGTCGTCCGTCGTCTTTGTATTGGTACGATGCGTGCTGTTCCACTCATACGTCGTGTCCGACGCTTATCCGTCCGTTCCTTGAAAGCAAATTACAAAGAAAACTATTTGGCAAGCGTTTTTGCTATCGCTGTTTTTTTTATCTTAAATATTGTTTATTTCTTTTGATTTTTGATGTTTACAATAGTCATACAGTTCAAGTGGTTTAGCCTAATTGCTGTTCATCTTTGTTTTTTTTTCTTATATATAATTAATTATTCTTACATTTTAACTTTTGTGTTAACGTGTAATTTGTGAGTTCTGTCACCTGTTTCTGTAGGTTTTCTTTAAACTAACTTTATAATAACTTAAAATTACTATTTACCCAATTTTATTTACATAATTTAGTGTTGTGTTAGTATAGGATTTTACCATTTACTCGTGGTGGTTTGAGGTTAGTATGAGTACAATGAAAAATAAAAATAAAATAGGATAAGGAATATTTTGAAAATTACATTAGGTTTCTGATGCTTGCATGCTCAGATTGGGAGACTTTCGAACGGAAGGACTGGATGACATTCTGAAGTCTAGTTTCGAGGAATTCCATATCAGCAATATCATGCACATCAGTAGTTCTAGTCCAGTGAGATAGGTTCAAAATCATTTTCAGAATCTTGTTTTGGATTCTCTGAAGTCTTAGCTTGTGTGATCGAGTGCAAGATTCCCAAGGAGGGAGCTCATACTCAATTACTGGGCGGATAATTTGCTTGAAGACAGCAAGCTTGTTTCTCAGGCTTGGATTTTCTGTTGATAAGTAGATACAATTGCCTGATCAGGCCTGAAGATAAGCTTGCTGTCTAAGGTGAGACCAAGATACTTTACCTCCTTGAGCCATTCAGTAGTAAAGCCTCCTAAGCGAACCTTCACATCATCAGGCGGAACTAGTCTAGGGGATTTAGAATGAGGAAATATTATGGCCTGGGTCTTCGCCGCATTGATACAAATTTTCCAGATGTAAAAATAGTCAGCCAGAACATCCAGGCCTCGCTGAAGTTGATTGGTGAGAGCTCTGATCACGCGACCAGAACAGCTTTCCACCACCAGGAAGGGTGGGCATGATGGATATAAAGATATTAAAAATAATAGGGCCAAGGATGCTGCCTTGGGGCACACCAAAATTAACATTGAATGTTGCATAGGTGGTGTTGTACAGCGAGACCTGAAATGATCTGGCCGATAAATAATTTTTAATGATTTTCACCAAGAACATCGGAAAATTGTACCGTTACAGCTTGCACACCAGGCCATCATGTCAGACATTGTCGAACGCCTTCTCGACGTCCAACAATGCCTCTATTCCGCCTGATGATGTCCGTAACACGAAACAGCTGGTGGACAGTGGAGTGACCTTTGCGGAAACCGAACTGTTCCTCAAGGAAAATATTGTTGGAGTCTGCGAAGTCAAACAGTCGAGATAAAAATAATCTTCTCAAACATCTTCGAGAGAGCAGAGAGGAGACTGATGGGGCGATAGCTTCTAGGTGAAGTGGGATCTTTCCCTGGCTTCAGGATGGGAGTGACTTTAGCTAGTTTCCAACAATGTGGAAAGTAGCCAAGTTCGAAGCACCTGTTTAAGGTGGTGGTGAGATGAAGGTATGAGTTTTCACTCAGATGTTTCAACTCGATGTTAAAGATGTTGTCGAAGCCAGGAGCCTTCATGTTTGTTTGATGTTTTAATGGCTACTATCACCTCATCCACCATCACCCTCTGCTCCCTCTCAAAGGTATTGGCAGATTCTTCAAGCATTTGAACATTTTCAAGTGGACTTACAACCCTGTTACCTAACTGATGTGGAGTGAGGAAATGATTACCAAGGGCGTTTGACTTTTCAGCCGGTGTTAGTAGGTGTCTACCATCAGCGTTGAAAGGAGGGATGAGTAACAAGTGTAAGTGTTGCGTCCAAGATTGGTGAGATTAATCGCGTGTAGTTTTCGTATGTTTTGTTTTTTTTTTTTAATCCAAGAAAAGGTTTAAATTTTTGTAAAAGGTAAAACGTCCCGGAATCCCCACGAACGCAGCCAGTAGGAGACATTTCCATATAAATTGTAGGACAATGCCACTAGCCACCGCCAGAGCACGCTGTGTGAAGTCATGAATGGACGGCCATAGGGGTGGCGTAATGGGGGCCATTGCGTGGAGAATTCGTGGCACGTACGACGGTTCGGGGTCATCGTCCACCAAGAGGCACAGTCATAAGCCTGGTGATCATTATAGACTACGGTCACATAGCGAAAGTCAAAGCTAAAAATTAATAGTTTGAAGGTGAAAACTAAAGCTAAAGTGCTAAAGTGAGCTAAGTTGGAAGTTTGAAGAAGTTGTAGAGGAAGTTGCAACGTAATTACCAGGTAATTACCATCACCAAGAAAACCCCGAACCAGATCCAACCGTTGTCTAGTGAGATCAGATCGATAACCGCCATTTCGAATTCTCCTTCGCGCCCACAGGACCTCGCGGTTTTACCGTAACATTTGCGTACTCAACGTATTTTTCCGGAGTCGACCACGCCAATCGCCGGTAGTGTGTCCGAATCGCAGTTCGATAACCTGATCCCTCAGCTACAGTGTGCGCCACCAATCCAGGCAAGCCAACTTACCCGTGTGGATCGTTGAAACCTCGAGTCCGTCACCATACTCGAGGGGCGCACGGGACAGAGGCGTCCACCCATGGCCCAAGAAGGTGATGCGGTACAAGAGGTAGGAGAGGAACGACGACGACGGCAGTGGCAGGTGAAGGGGCCCCGAAGACAAAAGAAGAGTAGTGCTAGCACAAGGTAGGAGTAGACATCTAAGGAAGTGGGAGACCGTCCGTGAAGTGAGTGTGGGAGTTTGTCTTGAGTGAACTTTGAGTGTTTTCTTGGTTCGCGGAATTATCACGAGCGTGTGCCGACCCTGAGGCTTGGAGACGGGGGGTCTCATCAGTGCTGGGAGTAACACCGCACTGGCACGTTACAGATGGGTTTAGGTTTATTTTTTAGCAGCTAGGAAAGTTTCCAAAAAGGTTTTGAAAACTCTCCAAGGCTGCTGACATGCTTGTTCCGTAAGTCTTCAACCCGGGTCTTGATTGTTTTGGTTAGGTTGTTTTCTTGTCACGGAGGCCAGTCCTCTGATACTGCCTCCGATAGATATTTCGTAGTCTGATTAGTTGGTTAGTAATTGGTTCAAACTCGAAGGATTTACGGTTAACTGGAACTTCCCTGATGTTCTCCGCCTCAGACGCTTCAACGGCAGCATCAATGTCGTCAGTGGTCTCCATACGCCGATCGAAGCTGATGTGTTGGTCAACACTCCGCTCAAATGCCAACCAGTCTACATGATGAAAATCTCGCCGGGTTTGTTGCTGAACATGCACACCAGCGCCAACACTGAACAGAACCGGATAGTGATCGGAGCATAAATCCTCTTGGACGATTGGTTGGCTGATGTTAGAGGTGATGTTGATGATGAAAATGTCGAGCACTCAAAAGCAACCTAATCTACTGTGGAATGTGGGGCTGTCGGGAGCCAAGATGTTGTAGCAGCCATGTTGAAAATCTTCGTTGAGGATAGTTCCGTTCCTGTTTCTGCGGGTATTTCCCCACACTTCGTGCCTAGCGTTGAAGTCGCCAGCGATGATGAATCTGCCATGCCTCCGTGTCAGCTTGATGATATCGTTCTTCAGTTTACGTCAGTACCATCTCAAACACGAGCTTGCATCGGGCTATAAGCCGCGATACAAGTGAGAGGTCCGCTGGTTGTGGTGATCTCGTTGCCGATGGCTTCGATGAGGTTGAGTTGGAAGCATGGTAGAAGCACAAACGAAGTGACAGACAACTAACTGGCGAAGAAATCAATTAAAATAATGTGGTTCGCTGTAATAGAATTTTCTTAGAAGCTTGTGCCATCATCCACCAGATGGGATAGTATTTTTGTTTTGGTTTTGCACAAAGTTGATTTTGTGTACAATGATTCTTTGACAGTGTGCAAAGAGTGCGTATCATTTAGTCATTTTTTTATGCATTTCAGTTTTGAGTAGAGTGAAAGAGATAGAACCAAAACATTCTAGTACATTTGGTGAAAATGCTAGTTCAATCCAGTAGTAGTGTTGCCATGTGGTTCAATCCAGTAGTAGTGGTGTTGCCATGTGGTACACTGAAAAATTGCGATAGCAGGTTAGTCACCAAAGTTTTCGGCCGCTCCGTCTGTCACTTCGTTTGTGGTAGAAGCTTGAAATTAATTGCATGCTTGATGGCGCTTGTACGGTCCAGACGAAGCAATCGGTGGTTTAGGAAACAGACCAATACCTCCGGTTTCAGGTGCGTTTCCGTTAGAAAACATACATCGATGTCGTGAACCCGGAAGAACTCACCAAGCTCGTAGCTTTTGCTCTTGAGGGAACAAACATTCCAATTTAGGAAGTTAAGGTTACTGACTTCAGGGCCTCTATTTGCTGAGGAAGTTGGTCACCACCGCAGCTTCGGCACGGGTCTGGTTTTCTTTAGAGCGACAGGCACGAAGGTGCACGAAAAGATTCATCGTGAGCTCGAGGACTATCGTTGCTTTTCTCCTCTCTTCCTTTCATTGGTGAAATGGCATGTGAGCATGCGCAATTTTTCGTTACATGGCTGAATTTTGATTTTTTTTTTTAATGTGACCCCAGTATAGAAATTAAAGACTTAGTCCTACGTCAAAATCGAATACTTCATCATTTCTCAGTTTATTTATTTTAAATTGTTTATGTCACATGTTTATTTTAAAGTAATGAAGTTTTGGATGATCATAGTTTAATATTTAGTGTTAAATTTATCTTTATTCATTTATAGGAAGAACTAGGTCGATACGCAACCTCTATAACCATAAATGTGCAGCCCGACTAGAATCCGCCTTAGACACAACTTTACGGAGAAGTCAGCAGCGATCAGGATCCACGGTAAGGTCAAACTAACATATAACATCAGAAATAATTTGATCAATCAATAATTTCGTCAACCTTTTCAGTCTTTGATTGACTTTTCCGAAACTGGTGCTCAGAAGCAGTCGCTATTCAATCGATCACCGTATAACAATTACGAAGAAGACGTCGAACAAATCGTTTCAGAGTACAAACACAAGTACAACAACCAGCAAAAGCACCCAAATAATGGAAATCCTTTCTTCCCACCATCTGGAGTATCTCCAACCTCGCAAGTTGAAGTTGCAAATCTTAAGGTTAGAATTCCTCAAAATCTTCAGTGGGTCGTCGTTGATCGTTGCCATTTCATTGAGCAAAACCGAACGTTGGATACCAAGCTTGAGTTTCCAGATTTGCAAATCAGCGGTAGAGTCATTATGCATCCTTCCGGAGGTCGGTGTGAAATGATTTTGAGGTTGAGACGGGCTGGAATTGAGTTTAAGACTATCCCATTGGTTCCTAGTGGGTTGGGCGAAAGGAGTAGACAAGCAAACGTTCGAACCGATTCACATTTCTCGGAACCTGGATTTATTTCGGTTTTTGCTCACAGTTGTGAGGGTCCTACCGGGATCAAGTATCGCATCAACTCGAAACGAAGACATTTCCTCGCCAAACACCCTTCAAATTACGATGCTTTTTACAGCAAGGATTATGGTAATGAATTTCAGCGAAATATGGAACACAAAAGATCATTAAATCTCGAGGAGGACGATGGTCTTACAGAAAAGGATATATTCAAATTGACAGACGGAGATTCACTGTTCTTGTCCCCTTCAGCGTTCCTAGATGAAGATGGTGATGACCCATCAACGTTCAGTGCTGACAGTAGAACCATATTCTCCGACCGGAATCCGTTTGCTTATAACGCCTATGCTGGCAATGGCGCTGGTTGGCAAACGGTCGAATCAAACGACGCTCTTGATGAGGCGTACTCCAATGAAATCGACAATCTTTTTTCAAAGGGAGTACGTGGACTGCTGACGACCTACATGCAGAAGGCTTTGCAACCTGCGATCAAAGAAACTTTGATGGAAAGTATGGGATACACGCTATCTTACGGGTAAGTAATTGAAGAGAATAAAAATGATAAACAAAATTAACGAATCGATATAATCTAAGATGACATGTCCATGTTATGAGTAAAATTTAAAAATATGAATCTTTAGGAAAGAGGGACTATGGACATTTATCCACTCTTCAAAATTTGCTATAAGGTAGTTTATGATATGTGTTTTATAATCTCAGTGGCTTACGAATTATACAGCTATAGTTATATTATGCATAACTACATAGTAAGTTACTGCACAAGCCGTGTAATGTATTTTATGAATTCGAATATCATCGATTTAGGTCAAATTTCTAGGAAAATATCTGCAGTACCAGTGTTAACTAGTAATAAACTATTTTTAAGTTGATCAAGCATATTATTGCCTGAATAAGCTCTTATTCAGCTTCCAATGTGTGTTGGGTTTCCAACATAATAAATATCTGGTTTCCGCAGATTTGACTATATTCAGGATTTTCCATAAACTTAGATTTGTTTGCCGAGATTAGCACCACCGAGCAGCTCGGCATTTTATTTTGCTGGATCTCAGTGAAAAACCTGCCGAGATACAGTTAACAAATGGGATTTTTTTTCCGAGATCTCAGCTAACAAATATAAATTTTGCTGAAATCTCAGTAAACATAAATGCCGAGCTGCTCGATGGTGCCAATCTCGGCAAAAAATCTAAGTGTGCACCTCTCCCGGGCACATCCAAAACCCCCGATGCCCAAATTTTAAGAACAGAAGCCCCTTCTTCAGCTGGCTTGTTCTCATTTGATAGCATTGTGGAAGGTATCCTTAAGTACCTCGATATTTCTGATCCTCTGAAAAGCATTGCTCTGGCAATGTTTCCTACTGTGAAGATCATTTTGAAGCAATTGGCAGTGAAGTGGCCCCTCCTTGCAGCAATCATTTCCTTCGATGGATAATTTTCCAAACGAGGTCGGGGATCTGACCACTGTTCTACAGTGGAATTGTCGAGATCTGATTCCTAAATTAGAATCTTTTAAGTTGTTAGTTTACAACAATGAGTTTGATGCGTTTGCTATTTGTGAAACTTGGCCCTCCTCATATTTCGATCTTCCTTATTATTATTTTAACGTTATTCGAGTGCCATTCCTTCTATAGAGTGAATCTTCCACAATTTCCAGATGTTGTCTCATGTCAGACTATTATTAAAGGCAAGAGCCTTTGTATTGCTTCTGTGTATATTCCTCTCCGAGTTTCGATTAATCGAAAAAAAAATACAGATATCTGTTCAGTTCTTCCTACTTGATTATGGGAGATTTTAATTCCCATGGTACAGGCTGGGGGGAACTGTATGATGACAACCGCTCTTCTTTTAGATATGACCTCTGTGATAACTTCAATATGACAATTCTTAACAATGGAGAAGTAACACGTTTGGGTGGTCCATCATCGAATAAAAGTATATTAGACCTCACCCTTTGCTCTAATTAATTATCGTTGGATTGCACGTGGAATGTAATCCAGGATCCCAAAGGTAGTGATAACTTGCCGATAAAAGTTTCAGTTACCAGTGGATTCAATGCGTCGGAACCCGTTAACGTCGCGTACGACCTAACCCGTAATATCGATTGGGCAAAGTTCAATACTGGAGCACTAACGTCGGTAGAAGGGCTTCCACCGTTGGAAGAATATAACTTCCTCTCCAATCTGATCTAGGACAGCGCGCTTCAAGCTCAAACTCGACCGGTTCCAAGAACGACTTTCCGTAGGACACCTCCTTCCCCTTGGTGGGCCTGCAATGCACTGAGGTTTATCGTAAAAAGTCCGACCCGTTTGAGCTTTTCCAGAAACGTGGAACACCCAAACATTTCGAAGCGTACTCGGCTCTTGAACGCGAACTCAGCCTCATCAAAGTCAAGAAACGCGGATACTGGTGGCAATTCGTGGACGGATTATCGCGCGAAACGTCGATGAATACACCTTGAAACGCGGCGCGAAGGATGCGTAACCGGTCTTCAAACAACGAGAGTGAGGAGTACTCGGATCGTTGGATTCTCAAGTTCGCGCGAAAAGTATCTCCTGGTTCCTCGAGAAACGACGAATTCGGTAGACGAGATCAGCCAGCCTTTTCAATGCTGGAGCTCTCAATCGCGCTCCTTTCGTGGGGCAATTAGGTTTCGGGGGCTGATAGGACAAAGTTCAACTTGTTGAAGAACCTCCCAGACGTCACTAAGAGGCGCATGTTGAACTAGTTTGTCAGTTCCTGAAGCTAAATATTGTTCCAGATGATTGGAGGGGTGAGAGTTATAGCCATTAAAAAGCCTGGCAAACTCGCGTCAGATTGCAACTCGTACCGACCCATCGCGATGTTGGCCTTCCTTCCAAAATTTGTTGGAGAAAATTATTTTTCCATTAATTATTAACATTTTGTACAATTTGCTGTCAGAGAAACACATGAGCTTTTTTTTCGTGGAAACTCTACAGCTACATGGGTCTCCCCCAGGGCATGTTGAGGCCCCCTTTTGTATAATTTCTACGTCAGAAAAATTGACAATTGTCTAAGTGACAACTGCACGTTGAGACAACTTGCAGATGACGGCGTAGTGTCTATGACAGGGCCCAAAGGGGTCGACCTGCAAGGACCATTACCTAAGGATACCTAAGACAATTTGCCTACTTGGGCTAATCACTTAGGTATTGAATTCTCCACTCCAAAACTGAGTTTATCGTTTTTTCTAGGAAGTATAGCACAGAACAACCGATCACTCATTCCATGTCTTTCAAATATCTCGGGGTCTGGTTCGATTCTAAATGCACCTGGAGATCCCACATTGAGTATCTGAGACGGAAATGCCAACTAAGGATCAATTTTCTGCGTACAATTACCGGAACGTGGTGGGGAGCCCATCCACAAGATCTCCTAACCGGACAACGATTTTATCGGTTTTAGAGTACGGTGGATTTTGTTTCCAGTCGGCGGCAAAAACTCACATCATCAAACTGTATCGCTGTCTTCGTATTGCGTTAGGATGCATGCACTCGAATCATACGATGAGTTTCGAAGTGTTGGTAGGCATGTTGCCACTCTCTAAACGGTTCTCGGAATTGTCCCTCAGGCTACTCACCCGGTGTGAAATTGTGGATTCATAAATGGGGATCGTAAACTTTGAGAAGCTTCTTGAGTTAAACCCTCAAGCTCGGTTCATATCATTGTACTACCCGAGATGTACATAACACAGGATGACAGTCCTTCGCAGCATAATCCTCATCGTGTATGCTTCTCCGACTTCGGCAATTCAGTTAATTTTGATTTATCCATTTTCGCTGCAAAGATTGGCCAAGTTGATTCCGCAAGATCGTTCTTCACAGATAGATCACTAATAGAGGCGTCCGCTGGTTTTGGTATTAATAACGAATTTCATAGTGACTCTCGAAGGCTTCATGATGGGTATTGATGTCGACACTACTCAGTCCTCAGCAGTGTAGAACAGTCAATGTTTCCCTGAAGAAGATCACCGACGATGCTCGCCATTGCTACGTTACGTTTCGCATCCAAAAGCTCCAAGTTGATAAGCATACAACGGTTTTCGTAGCTAGGCAGATTTTTAGGGTCATTCCAGCGAAAATGCCTTAAAGCATATCGGACGAACTTCCGTTGAATAGCTTTAATACGCATGGTTTCATTTTGGTAGTATGGAGACCACACGACCGCCGAATAGACCAAAATAGGTCGCACCAACGAACAGTATAATAATTTTAGGCAGTACATCTTTGATTTTTTTTTTTTGCGAAGCAGAATATGAACCCGAGTTGTGAGGAAACTTTGGATACTACGTATCCAAACATGATCCTTGCAGCTGAGCTTGGAGTCGATCAGTTTTCCCAGATCCTTGATAGTCGGTTCACGTTTCAAAGTTATGCCCGTCAGAGACTAGTCATGGTGAAGAAGCGAACGCTTGCGGCCAAAGGAAATTACAGAGCATTTCGAGACATTCAGGGACATGTGATTAATACGAAACAACTCAGCGAAGACTTCCAATTGTTGCTGCAATAAAATGGTATCACTAGGTTCTTTTATCACGAAGTAGATTTTCAGGTCGTCCGCAAATGATAGTTTAAGGCATTTCTGGATGCTATTGATGTCATTCATGTACAGCAGAAACAGAAATGGCCCAAGATGGCTTGGGTACGCCGGATGTCACGGGGAAGGATGAAGAAACATAGTCTCCAATTTTGACAGACATCTTTCGACCAGTCAGGTAGGAGTAGAGCCAAGTAAGCAGGCCATCGTGAATACCTACCCGAGCAAGTCTTGTTTCAAATTTAATTTAAGTTCATCTGTTGTTGAACTAATAAGTATTGTCTATTTATTTTGTTTAACACATTTTAGGTAATTCGTGACTTGGCCGGAGTGAGATTTGACTCTTTCAGCATTTATCCTGTCGTATTTAGCCAACGCAATGTCATGTTTCATTTGGTCAAATGCTGCGGAGAGGTCTGCTTCTTTTTGTCTTTAGTATAGAGATTTTTATCCATATGGCTAGTTCATCGCCTCGGAGAGGTCTGCGTAGATGGCATCTACTTGATGGCCACGTTCTACTGCACGAATGATGAACGAAGTCAACGTAACTAAATTGGTCGTCGTGTAACGCTTAGGCATAAAGCCATGCTGATCCGTCGAGATACAGTGTGTAAAGCTTTGAACCTATTTTTGGAGTATAATCAATTCAAAAAGGTTGGAGGTACCACTTAACGAAACTATTCCACGGTACTTTGAAACAGTCCTTTTGCAGCCTTTCTTGTGGATATGTGTGAAACTCTATTATTAACTCCCAGGAATCAAAGGATACTGTCGTGCACGGTCAAGTCGCTTTCTGTAGCCTGGTACAATCACATATCTTTGTTCCACGTACCTGTATCCAAGGCACTCATCACGTCATGTTTAGTGGCCTTAATATCTTGCTCGGTCAAAAATTCTACGGCGTTTGCTTCTAGGTAAGTGATCTCCCAAGGAGTTGCGTCTTCGTCAAAAGGCTCGTCTTCACCGCAGTACCACC